GGCCAGAACTTGGGTGGTCTCAAACTCCTGACCTCAAGTGATCTGCCCGCCTCGGCCTCCCAAAGTGCTGGGGTTATAGGTGCAAGCCACCATGCCTGGCCTATCCTATATATATTGATGTACTCTTGATTGTTGGCATTAAAAGAACAGATTTACACCTCTCCACTATCTTTTTTTTTTTTTTTTTTTTGAGACGGAGTTTCGCTCTTGTTACCCAGGCTGGAGTGCAATGGCACGATCTCGGCTCACTGCAACCTCCGTCTCCTGGGTTCAGGCAATTCTCCTGCCTTAACCTCCTGAGTAGCTGGGATTACAGGCACACACTACCATGCCCAGCTAATTTTTTGTATTTTTAGTAGAGACGAGGTTTCACCATGTTGACCAGGATGGTCTCGATCTGTTGACCTTGTGATCCACCCACCTCGGCCTCCCAAAGTGCTGGGATTACAGGCATGAGCCACCGTGCCCGGCCAGCTTTCTTGACCTTACTAATGAAACAGCAAAATTTTATTTTAAATCCACAGGTTAAAGACATATCATTTAATAATCAGCATTGGTTGATTGGCTACCCTGTGTCCAGTCCATTTCTGGGCTTTGTGGATCTGTGAGTCAGCCTGACCCCTGTTCTCAGCTTAAAGAGCCCACTCAAGCCATCTGTAGTGAAAAGAGGAGGCAGCTGTTGGGCATGGTCAGAATTCTTCTGAGTTTCCTGGATGGCTTAGTATCTTTGCTAGGACTTGGTGGTTATGCATAATGAGATAGAGAAGTCAGAACAGAAAGTATGGCATAAGGCTGATTGGGCCCTACTGGGTATGAGAAGAAGGAAAAGGTGCCAGCGAGGTGGTCATCTAAAACATTATCACTTCATGTTTTTTAAAACTATTCGTGAGGTAAACTGGCCTAGGTTGGAAATAGCAGGTCAAAACTCTGCTGCAGGAGGATTACTTGAGACCAGGAGTTTGAGAGACCCTGTCTCTGCAACAACAACAATAAAAAAAAAAAAATTTAGCTGAGAGTGGTGGTGTGGGCTTGTAGTCTTAGCATCTTGGGAGGCTGAGGTGGGAGTATTGTTTGAACCCAGGATTTCTTGGATACAGTAAGCTGCACTCTGCTGCACTCCAAGCTGGGCAACAAAACAAGACCCCGTCTCTAAAAAACAAAACAAAAAACTCCAATGCTGATCAGTAGTAGGATTGTGTCTGTGAACAGCCCTGCATTGCAACCTGGGCAACATAGTGTGACCTCATCTCTGTTTAAAAAAATAGATAAGGCCAGGCTATCTATGGGCTCACGCCTATAATCCCAGCACTTTGGAAGGCTGAGGTGGGTGTACCATGAGGTCAAGAGTTCAAGATTAGCCTAGCCAAGATGGTGAAACCCTGTCTCTACTAAAAATACAAAAATTAGCCAGGTATGGTGGCAGGTATCTGTAATCCCAGCTACTCAGGAGGCTGAAGCAGAGAATTGCTTGAAGCTGGGAGGCAGAGGTTGCAGTGAGTCAAGATAGCGCCACTGCACTCCTGCCTGGGTGACAGAGTGAGACTCCATCTCAAAAAAAAGATAAGGCCGAGCTCAGTGGCTCACACCCAGCACTTTGGGAGATCGAGGCAGGCAGATCACTTGAGCTTAGGAGTTCAAGACCGGACAGGGAAACACGGAGAAACCATTTCTCTACAAAATGTAAAAAAATTAGCTGTACATGGTGGCTTGCACCTGTAGTTCCAGCTACTCAGGAGGCTGAGGTAAGAGTATCGCTCGATCCCAGGAAGTAGAGTTTGCAGTAAGCTGAGATTACGCCACTGCACTCTGCCTGGGCAACAGTGAAACCCCATCTCAAAATAATAATTCTTTTAAAAAGCTATTTATATCCAAAGGCTATATTCAACAGATGTCTTGTCTCTCTTTTAATTTTGTAATAGTGGTCTGTTGGGGACGAATAGCTTTGTTAAGGACACAGAAGAAATATCAGCCATAATTTGGGAAACCTAGGCCTAAAGTCTGCATAGTCCTCTGCAGGAAAATACTGTGGCAACATGCACGGGTCAGAGGCCGCTTACTTTGTATGGAAGGAAAATAGGGACCCCCATCCTGAGTGAAGTAAGCTGTCTTGAGTCCTTGATTTTCTCCAGATGTACTTGGACTGTAGGACAGGAAGGCACTCACTGATTCCATAGCCTCTGCTACTCATGTGCTGGGATGTGCCCTTGTTTAGTAGGTGTGTACTTGTCTCCTTTCAGGAGTGATTTGAACGCTAGAAAGAGGGATCATGTGGTGTTCACTGTGTGTCTTCCCTCCCCTGCAGTTCTTATCTGTGGACCAGGTACATACTACCTTACAGGTCTATGGTAGCTCTTATTTAAGTACTCAGTCCAGTGAGCAGAAAACCAATATTCTGTGTTTTCCTGGCACCCTAACCTTAAATACTAGTTTCTCCTTGCTTTAGCAGTACCCTCATGGTGTGTAGTGCTCTCTCTTGGAAGCCTAATTAAGGCCTCCAAACACATCCCAGTCTTCTATGGTCTCACCCAAGTCTTGACACTTAGGGTGTTTTGTAACTGGCTTACTTCCCAGTTATGACTATAACACATAGATGCTTATTTGCTTCTTTACCTAACGTTAAAATGTGAACTTCTAAGGCAGATGCAGTGGTGTGCACATGGAATGCCAGCTACTCGAGAAGGATCACTTGAGCCCAGGAGTTCAAAGCTGTAGGGTGCTATGATCACGCCTCTGAATAGCCACTGTATTCCAGCCTAGACAGCATAGCACAGCTCATCTCTTTATTTAAAACAAAACCAAAAAAAAGTGGCCGAGTGCTTTGGACATGGTCAGAATTCCTCTGAGTTTCCTGAGTGGCTTAGTATCTTTGCTGGGACTTGGTGGTCGTGCATAAAGAGACATAAAAGTCAGAATAGAAAGCATGCTTTCTGTAATCCCAGTACTTTGGGAGGCTGAGGTAGGCAGATCCCTTGAGGTCAGGAGTTCAAGACCAGCCTGGCCAACATGTGAAATCCTGTCTCTACTAAAAATACAAAAATTAACTGGGTGTAGTGGCACATGCCTGTAATTCCAGCTATGTGGGAGGCTGAGGCAGAAGAATTGCTTGAACCTGGGAGATGAAGTGAGCCGAGGTTGTGCCACTGCACTATAGCCTGGGCAACAGAGAGACTGTCTCAAAAAAAAAAAAAAAAAAAGTCTTTCTATGTCAATGTCAATAGACTTCTTTTTTTGTTTGTTTGTTTTCCCGAGACGGAGTTTCGCTCTTGTTACCCAGGCTGGAGTGCAATGGCGCGATCTCGGCTCACCGCAACCTCCACCTCCTGGGTTCAGGCAATTCTCCTGCCTCAGCCTCCTGAGTAGCTGGGATTACAGGCATGCGCCACCATGCCCAGCTAATTTTTTTAGTATTTTTATTAGAGAAGGGGTTTCACCATGTTGACCAGGATGGTCTTGATCTCTTGACCTTGTGATCCACCCGCCTCGGCCTCCCAAAGTGCTGGGATTACAGGCTTGAGCCACCGTGCCCAGCCGTCAATAGACTTCTAAATCTTTTTAAATCACCACATAGTAGTCCATTGCATAGATTTGTCATATATTATTTATCTAACTCATTTTTGTTGAACATTTATTTCTAATTTTTTGCTGTTGTAAGTAATCCTGTGGTACACATATCCTTTGTCATTTCCTCAGGGGGACATTACAGAAGTAGAATTGCTAGCTCAAGGCACCATCTTGAGTTTCTTTAGTAGCTATAACTATGTGCTTTAAATGTCCCCTAAGAGCATATAGGGGCCAGAAAGGCTGCCCACAAGTTTTGAAACCTTCATTGCAATTAGGACTCATTGGCCGCTGGGAATCCAGAGATTTTAAACTGAGTTTTGGGTTTTTATGTTTTGTTGTTTTCTGGTGTTTTTTTTTTTTTTTTTTTTTTTTTGAGACGGAGTTTCGCTCTTGTTGCCCAGGCTGGAGTGCAATGGCGCGATCTCGGCTCACCGCAACCTCCGCCTCCTGGGTTCAGGCAATTCTCCTGCCTCAGCCTCCTGAGTAGCTGGGATTACAGGCACACGCCACCATGCCCAGCTAATTTTTAGTATTTTTAGTAGAGACGGGGTTTCACCATGTTGACCAGGATGGTCTCGATCTCTTGACCTCGTGATCCACCCGCCTCAGCCTCCCAAAGTGCTGGGATTACAGGCTTGAGCCACCGCGCCCGGCCTTTTCTGGTGTTTTTGTGTGTTTATGTAAACCCAGGCCTGGGGATTTTCTATAAGTAATAGGCCTAACTAGAGACCTACTTCCTGTGTACAACCTCATACAGCAGCTTGAGGGAACATAATATGACCTACATGAAGGAACCCGCAGTTCTTTTGCTTATATTATTAATAGATGCTAGGTTGTTACTTACTGTAGAATGGGTATCTTTAAGTTTCAAATGAAATTAATTTTCTTGAAAGGTTCATTAATGAAAACAAAGATAGAAAATCGAGAGATCCATGAAATCACCAAGATTGTAAGAATGTGAATTTAGGCTGGGCATGGTGGCTTACGCCTGTAATCCCAGCACTTTGAAAGGCCGAGGTGGGTGGAACACTAGGTCAAGAGATCGAGACCATCCTGGCCAACATGGTGAAACCCCGACTCTACTAAAAAAAATACAAAAATTAGCTGGGTGTGGTGGCACGCGCCTCTAGTCCTAGCTATTCGGGATGCTGAGGCAGGAGAATTGCTTGAACCCAGGAGGTGGAGGTTGCGGTGAGCCTAGATCACGCCACTGCACTCCAGCCTGGTGCCTGGCGACAGAGCAAGACTCTGTCTCAAAGAAAAAGAAAAAAAAAAAAAAGAATATGAACTTAAAAGACAAAGCAGAGAACCAAGAGGAGGAATTTGGTAATCCAGCCTGGGCTTGGCATAGACGTTAATGTATACAGTTCTCAAAATGTGAAATACTTTAAGAGAAAATGTGGTTATAATTTGATTTTTTTTTTCTTTTTTCTTTCTAGGTATCTCATTCAGTTGCTAAACTTATATTAGTTAATTTCCACTGGCAAGTTTCAGAGATATTGGACAGGTAAGGTATTTGGGGGAGAAGAGATAACATTGCCCATAGCTGCTCTCTCCATGATGATGATTATTTACCTTTTGGACTATATTCCAATGTGCGTAGTATGTTTTTAAAGCATTGGATTCTATTTTATATCCTTTTCTCTTAATATGTTGTGAACTTTTCCCCATGTCTTCAGTATATTCTTCTACCCCAGTTTTAAAACTAGCACAATATTCTATCACAGATATTCCATACTTTTTCTAAACCTCTGTTGTTGGACAGTGAAGTTAATTCAGATTTTCTTTGCCATTGTTAATTTCTAATCAGTATCTTTCTAGGTAACACATGTCAACATCTGTTACTTCTTTTGGATACATCAACTTGAGGATTGCATCAGAGTACATGTCATATTTTCTTCAGAAAATGTAGGCTACTGGCCATATATGGTGGCTCACGCCTGTAATCCCAGGTCTTTGTGAGGCTGATGCGGGCAGATCACCTGCAGTCAGGAGTTTGAAATTAGCCTGGCCAACATGGTGAAACCCTGTCTCTACTAAAAATATGAAAATTAACTGGGTGTGATGGCACTCCTATAGTCCCACCTACTTGGGAGGCTGAGGCAGGAGAATCACTTGAACCTGGGAGGCAGAGGTTGCAGTGAGCCGAGATTGTGCCACTGGCCTCCAGCCTGAGAGACAGAGTAAGACTCCGTCTCAAAAAGAAAATGTAGGCTGCTTTACCACCCACCACCTCTGCCAGCAGCGTATTTGAGTTTTTCATTCCAACTCTTCCAGAATTAGAAAGCTTAAGATACAGACCTTAGAGTCTCAAGATGTGAGTTGTCAGGAAAAAGGGCTCCTCCTTGGCCATCCTCTGTAGAGCTCTTCTATGCTCACCCGCAGAGGCCTGTGTCCTGTCTAGCACAGTATTTCTCATCCTCAGTATTATTGACATTTTAGGCTAAGTAACTTTTCATAGTGGGGGCCTGATCTATGAATTGTAGAATGTTTGGCAGCATCCCTGGGGTCTACCTACTAGAAGCCACACCTCTAAGTCCTCGACAATCAAAATGTCTCTAAACATTGTCCAATAACTCCTGGGGAGCAAAATTGCTTCTGGTGAGAAGCACTTGATAACCATCCCTGCTTTTTCACACTGCAGTGAGTCTTTCTTTCTTTTTTTAATTTTTTTTTTTTTTTTTTTTTTTTTTTGAGACGGAGTTTCGCTCTTGTTACCCAGGCTGGAATGCAGTGGCGCAATCTCAGCTCACCGCAACCTCCGCCTCCTGGGTTCAAGCAATTCTCCTGCCTAAGCCTCCTGAGTAGCTGGGATTACAGACATGCACCACCATGCCCAGCTAATTTTTTTTTGTATTTTTAGTAGAGACGGGGTTTCACCATGTTGACCAGGATGGTCTTGATCTCTTGACCTTGCGATCCACCTGCCTCGGCCTCCCAGAGTGGTGGGATTACAGGCTTGAGCCACCGCACCCGGCCCGAGTCTTTCTTTCTTGTATGGTATGATTTTTTTTTTTTTTTTTTTTTTGAGACGGAGTTTCGCTCTTGTTACCCAGGCTGGAGTGCAATGGCACGATCTCGGCTCACTGCAACCTCTGCCTCCTGGGCTCAGGCAATTCTCCTGCCTCAGTCTCCTAAGTAGCTGGGATTACAGGCATGTGCCACCACGCCCAGCTAGTTTTTTTTTGTATTTTTAGTAGAGACGGGGTTTCACCATGTTGACCAGGATGGTCTCGATCTCTCGACCTCGTGATCCACCCGCCTCGGCCTCCCAAAGTGCTGGGATTACAGGCTTGAGCCACCGCGCCCGGCTTTTTTTTTTTTTTTGAGACGGAGTTTCGCTCTTGCTGCCCAGGCTGGAGTGCAATGGCGCGATCTCAGCTCACCGCAACCTCCGCCTCCTAGGTTCAGGCAATTCTCCTGCCTCAGCCTCCTGAGTAGCTGGGATTACAGGCACACGCCACCATGCCCAGCTAATTTTTAGTATTTTTAGTAGAGACGGGGTTTCACCATGTTGACCAGGATAGTCTCGATCTCTTGACCTCGTGATCCACCCGCCTTGGCCTCCCAAAGTGCTGGGATTACAGGCTTGAGCCACCGCGCCCGGCCTGATTTTTTTTTTTTAATTTTTGTTTTGAGACAAAGTCTCACTCTGTCTCCCAGGCTGGAGTTCAGTGGCACGACCTCAGCTCACTGCAACCTCCACCTCCAGGGTTCAAGCAACTCTCCTGCCTCAGCCTCTCGAGTAGCTGGGATTACCAGCACTTGCCGCCACGCCTAATTCTTGTATTTTTAGTAGAATTTAGCTACAGAGGAAGATCATGCCTTTCCTTCTCCAGGCTGAACACAACTGGGAAGGACATACCAGCCAGAGCAGCTCAGCAAAATCGGGAAAGAACAAATTAGTTCCTGATTCACTAACTGCACTCATGCTCTGTACTCAAGAGTGGAATACATTTAGATGGAATTGCAGATGAACTTCTGCCTTGCTATTGTACTAATGCTGAAAACTCTGGAAACACATAGGCTCTGGTAATAGGGTATATCTCTCACTACCCTAACTGTTTCAGTATAACTCAGGAGTGGAGATTTGGATGGCAAAAGATACTTAAAATACTAGTGTGGGGGCCGGGCGTGGTGGCTCAAGCCTGTAATCCCAGCACTTTGGGAGGCCAAGGCGGGTGGATCACAAGGTCGAGACATCGAGACCAACCTGGTCAACATGGTGAAACCCCGTCTCTACTAAAAATACAAAAAATTAGCTGGACATGGTGGCGCGTGCCTGTGATCCCAGCTACTCAGGAGGCTGAGGCAGAATTGCCTGAACCCAGGAGGCGGAGGTTGCGGTGAGCCAAGATCGCGCCATTGCACTCCAGCCTGGGTAACAAGAGCGAAACTCCGTCTCAAAAAAAAAAAAATACTAGTGTGGGAATTAGGAATAAAACAGGCCCCTCAATAAGGATAGTGGAGGGAAGCACTCTGACTAGGTAGGGTAAAGAAATCACATAGATGAGACATAATTCTTTTCTCCTCCAATTCCTGGTGTCTCAGAAATTTGTTGACCTGGGCTTTGTATGGCACTTTTATTGCTATGTGATAATTCTGTTTAAATGGAAAATTATTCTAGGTGACTCCTGTCACATAATTTTTCTGGAGTTAAATATAGAAAGGGAATTGCTGGGCCGGGCGCGGTGGCTCAAGCTTGTAATCCCAGCACTTTGGGAGGCCGAGGCGGGTGGATCACGAGGTCGAGAGATCGAGACCATCCTGGTCAACATGGTGAAACCCCGTCTCTACTAAAAATACAAAAAATTAGCTGGGCATGGTGGCACGTGCCTGTAATCCCAGCTACTTAGGAGGCTGAGGCAGGAGAATTGCCTGAACCCAGGAGGCGGAGTTTGTGGTGAGCCGAGATCGCGCCATTGCACTCCAGCCTGGGTAACAAGAGCGAAACTCCGTCTCAAAAAAAAAAAAAAAAAAAAAAGGAATTGCTGGCTATAGCATATGTGTAATTTTGGCTTTGCTAGATAATTCCAAGCTGTTTTCCAGAGTGATTTACCACTTTACACTCTCAGTAGTGGTATATAGGTGTTCCTGATATTGTAAGACTTAAAGTTTTGTAGTTTGGTGGATGTAAATGACATCTGATTGTTTTTCATTTTGATATTTAGGAGGTTGAGAATCTTTTCATTTTGTATGTGTGTGTGTACATATATACGTGTGTGTGTGTGTATATATATATATATATATATATATTTTTTTTTTTTTTTTTTTTTTGAGACAGAGTCTTGCTCTGTGTCTCAGGCTGGAGTGCAGTGGTTCAATCCCTGCTCACTTCAGCCTCCACCTCCCAGGTTCAAGCGATCCTCCTACCTTACTTAGTCTCCTGAGTAGTTGGGATTCAGATGAGGTTTTGTTTCACCATATTGGCCAGGTTGTTCTAAATTTCCTGACCTCAAGTGATCCGCCCACCTCATCCTCTCAAAGTGCTGGGATTACAGGCATGAGGCACCATGCCCAGCCTTATACATATGATTTTTTTTTTTTTTTTTTTTTTGAGACACTGCAACCTCCACCTCCCAGGTTCAAGCGATTCTCTTGCCTCAGCCTCCCAAGTAGCTAGGACTACAGGTGCATGCCTCCATGCCTGACTAATTTTTGTATTTTTAGTAGAGTCAGGGTTTCACCATGTTGGCCAGGCTGATCTTGAACTCCTGACCTCAAGTGTTCCTCCTGCCTCAGCCTCCCAAAGTGTTGGGATTACAGGCGTGAGCCACTATGCCTGGCCTAGAAGTTTATATATTGAATTATCTTCCACTTTTTGGCTTGGCTTTTGACTTTGGTGTTTTCTGATGAATGATGAACTGAGGTTCTTTAATGTAGCATAATTTATCAGGATTTATGTATTTAATTTTTCCTTTTTATTATTCCTTTATATTTCACATTTTCTGTCTTGTAAAAAAAGTCTTTATACTGAGATAAAAGGAAGCTTAGTTCTGTGAGAAAGTAGAGGCAAAGATGCTTCACTGTGACCACAAAACATGGTAGTCTGTCCTATTAATGTGCAGGGGTAAAAATGTCTTTAGCTTCTAATTTCCTTCATTCCTGCTTTTTGTTTTGTAGATACAAGTCCAATTCTGCTCAACTGCTCGTTGAGGCTCGAGTTCAGCCTAATCCATCAAAACAAGTGAGTGTCTACTACTTGAATGAGGCTTCTAATTGCACATGCCTCTTCCTGTGGCGTGCAGTGTCATTAAGAAATACCTTTGCTGTGTTTATAGTTCAGTATGCCCACAATATTTGTTCTAGTATTGCCTTAAATCTGTTATGGTTTGAAAAGTTTCCTGATAGACAAGGAATAAATAATTGCCTGTCATTGCACCCTCTCCAGCCTTACTTTCCTCTCTACACTTTCAGCCTGCACTCCATTCCTTCTGGGTGCTTTGGTGTTTCTGAGATTACCTCATACCTATTCTGTTCTGTTTGTGCCTTCCTTTCCTAGAATGTCCAGACTCTGTCTCCACCTTTGCTTATAGGAAGGGAAGTCACCTTTAAAGACCCCAGTCCAAGCCGGGCGCGGTGGCTCAAGCCTGTAATCCCAGCACTTTGGGAGGCTGAGGCGGGTGGATCATGAGGTCGAGAGATCGAGACCATCCTGGTCAACATGGTGAAACCCCGTCTCTACTAAAAATACAAAAAATTAGCTGGGCATGGTGGCTCGTGCCTGTAATCCCAGCTACTCAGGAGGCTGAGGCAGGAGAATTGCCTGAACCCAGGAGGCGGAGGTTGCGGTGAGCCGAGATCGCGCCATTGCACTCCAGCCTGGGCAACAAGAGCGAAACTCCGTCTCAAAAAAAAAAAAAAAAAAAAAAGACCCCAGTCCAGCCGGGTGCAGTGGCTCACGCCCGTGGCTCACGCCCGTAATCCCAGCACTTTAGGAGGCCAAGGTGGGCGGATCACTTCAGGTCACAAATTCAAGACCAGACTGGCCAACATGGTGAAACCCCATCTCTACTAAAAATACAAAAATTAGCTAGGTGTGGTGGTGCATGCCTGTAATCCCAGCTACTTGGGAGGCTTAGGCAGGAGAATCACTTGAACCTGGGAGGTGGAGGTTGGAGTGAGCCAAGATTGTGCCACTGCACTCCAGCCTGAGCAACAGAGACTTCATCTGAAAAAGAAAAAACAAAAAACAATCCAAGCCACCTTTTTGACAAAGCCTGTCTCCTGGATCATTCCCTTGGAAACTCACCTAATTATATCTATAAGCCTTTTTTTTTTTTGAAGGTGGAGTCCCCCTGTTTCCAGGCTGGAGTGCAGTGGTGCATTCTTGGCTCACTGCAGCTTCCACCTCCTGGGTTCATGAAATTCTCCTGCTTTAGCCTCCTGAGTAGCTGGGACTACAGGTGCGTGCCACCATGCCCGGCTAAGTTTTGTTTTGTTTTGTTTTTAAAGATGGGGTTTCACCATGATGGCCAGGCTGGTCTTGAACTCCTGAGCTCAGGTGATCCACCCACCTCGGCCTCCTAAAGTGCTAGGATTACAGGCGTGAGCCACTGCGCCCAGCAAGTTTTGTATTTTCAGTAGAGACAGGGTTTCACCATGTTGGCTAGGATGGTCTCCATCTCTTGACCTCATGATCCACCCACCTCAGCCTCCCAAAGTGCTAGGATTACAGGTGTGAGCCACCATGCCTGGCCTATATCTATAAACTTTCACATGTGTGTTGTCGTGATTAACTCATATCGTTTTACCACTTGTACCATAGATGCTGTATTTAAACAATGCATAGCAATTTCCTGTGTATCTAGGAGCTAAATGAACATTTGTTGAATGTTTTTTATATAAAGACCATGCCAAAAGAGCTCTTGGAAGGCAGAATTGGGGCTCAGATCACCACATAATTTCTGCAGCCTCTTAGGACAAAGGTTTCTAGAAACAAAATGGATAAATATGAGAATCCAGTTCTTTTCCTCAACTTGTTTTTTTATATTCCCAGTAAACCAAAAAGAACCTAATGTTCTAGTAAGTGGGCTTTTCCATTGGTTCATGGTTTTAGACAAGGTCCCCAGATTGTCTTTCTCTGCCAGATTGTGTAGCATGTTATGGATTCTGGATTTCATGCTCTACAGTTATTTGCCCACATTCTAAAAGTTTCTTCCCTAGAAGGTGTCTCCACATTCCCTCCCCCCAGATTAATAACATGTGACATCTGGTATATTATGGATGAGTTGTAACTTGGTAAAGGCTGTAGTATTTTGTGGTTTGGGCACATAGATACAGTAAAACCACTGTCCTTGACCAGTAAAACTACAGTTTTGGCTGTTAGAAGCTTTATAAACTCATCCTCTAATAACCTTTCTGACTGGGTTTCTAGTAGTTGTGAGGGGCAACTCTGCTGTGCTTAACAGGGGTAGTTTGCAAAAGAAACCTGATAGCTTCTAAAAAGAAATTGGATTAAATGACCTCTAAGGACCTTGGCAATTCTGAAACCCTGAATTTTTCAGTCTGCCCTTATAAACCATTGTAAGTTCTCATTTCAGTCTTCTTTCGGCCTCTGAATCCTAGTGATTTTGCAAGCCCAGCTTAGCTGCTACCTCCTTCAGGAAGCCTTCCTAGTATATACTTTTAGCTTAGCACCCTTGGGACTCAGAGTCCACACATTGCAGTTGAGCTTTGATAGTTGTTTCAGGGTAAGGATCACTTCCCATACACCTGGCTGCATGAGGTACCCTTATGGCCTCCTGCTCCTGACTCCCCTTTGGCTCATGTGGCTCTGCTTCTGTCCAGGTTTCCACATCCCATCCCCCTCACCACTGTGCAGTGTGTATGCAGTTTGTGCGAAAGGAAAACCTACTCTCTCTGGCCTGTCAGCACCAGTTTTGCCGAAGCTGCTGGGAACAGCACTGCTCCGTTCTTGTCAAGGACGGCGTGGGCGTGGGTGAGTCTGCCGCAGAACTGGGAAAAGGCTGGCATGAAGTGTTTATCTTTGACTCTGCCTTTTCATATACTCAGGTAAACTGAGTACTTTCTTCTGAGCCTGATTGGGGTTTTTATCATCAAAACTAGTGATTTTCAAATACATCATTACAGTGACAAAGTTTTCCACAGTCCTCAGCAAAACGAGAAAATTAAAGATAACGTTAATGTTGGCATGAGTGCAGAGCTCCTTTCTCTCACCTTTTGGGAGATTGATCCTTTAAGGTGCCTACCTGAATTCCACAAGTGGCAGCCATAAGCCCACAAGAGTGTGCTGCTTTTTAGGTAACAGCAGAAATCAAATTTGACGATTAGTTGCAGGAGTATTTGTTAAACTGTGATTTGATGATACTGAAACAAATTAGCATTGCATTAATTGGGATCTACGAAGTCCCACAATTGGTGATAATCACCTGTACATAATGTTAAATAAACATCATTAACATCTTGTTAGTCAAGAACGCTATTTAAGGAATTTTTTTTTTTTTTTTTTTTTTTGAGACAGTGTGTCGCTCTGTTGGCCAGGCTGGAGTACAGTGATCTCAGCTCACTGCAAACTCCTCCTGGGTTCATGTGATTCTTCTGCTTTAGCCTCCTGAGTAGCTGGGACTACAGGCACACATCACCACACTCTGCTAATGTTTGTATTTTTAGTAGAGATGGGATTTCACTATATTGGCCAGGCTGGTCTTAAACTCCTTACCTTGTGATCCACCCACCTCAGCCTCCCTAAGGGGCTGGGATTATAGGATTTTTAAAATGGTTTTGTTATTATTTTTTTTTTTTTGGTTTTGTTATTTAATGATGCTGTTAGTGATATAATTTGGGATAATATTTTAGTTTCATCATGTGAAAATATGCTAATTTCTCTCCTTTCTGAATAGATTCTGTTGCTTGAAGTGTTTCTTACATGGAATCTGGATTTGTTGATTGAACTGGGTGGGCAAGTTGTGTCTTCTGCAGTATGGTTGTCCATGAGGTTGTCTTTATTCAACAGGAGTCTCTTGTATGGCTCAGGACTGTCCGCTCCGTACACCAGAGGACTTTGTGTTTCCATTGCTTCCCAATGAAGAATTGAGAGAGAAATACAGGCGCTACCTCTTCAGGGACTATGTGGAGGTATTGCCAGCCTTTGTTCTGCCCTCTCTCTTCCTGGGCCTACCTTCCATCGGATGGTTACCACAGTTACTTACTTTATAGACTAGGCTGACATTAAGTGACGGTGTTTGAAGAAAGAGCTCTATGGCTTTAAAAAAGTTTGAAAACCACTAGAGTGATAGTGAAGAGCACAGGCCCTGGAGTCAGACATACCGTTGTATGAATCTCGGATGCTTCCTTGCTATGTGATCACTGACTTTTTTTTTTTCTTTTTTTCTTTTTTTTTTTTTTTTTGAGATGGAGTTTTGCTCTTGTTACCCAGGCTGGAGTGCAATGGCGCGATCTCGGCTCATCGCAACCTCCGCCTCCTGGGTTCAGGCAATTCTCCTGCCTCAGCCTCCTGAGTAGCTGGGATTACAGGCACGTGCCACCATGCCCAGCTAATTTTCTGTATTTTTAGTAGAGACGAGGTTTCACCATGTTGATCAGGATGGTCTTGATCTCTCGACCTTGTGATCCACCCGCCTCGGCCTCCCAAAGTGCTGGGATTACAGGCTTGAGCCACCGCGCCCGGCCGACTTTTTTTTTTTCTTGAGACAGAGTCTCGCTCTGTCCCCCAGGCTGGAGTGCAGTGGCATGATCTCGGCTCACTACAGTCTCCACCGTCTGGGTTCAAGTAATTCTCCTGTCTCAGCCTCCTGAGTAGCTAGAACTACAGGTGTATGCCATCATGCCCAGCTGATTTTTGTATTTTTAGTAGAGACGGAGTTTCAACATGTTAACCAGGATCTTTATCTCAACCTCATGATCTGCCTGCCTTAGCCTCCCAAAGTGCTTGGATCACTGGCGTTAGCCAGCATACCCAGCCTTAAAAAAAACTTTTTTTAACCTCTGAGCTTTGATTTTCTCTTCACAGAATGGAAGGACATGCCCACCTTATACATAGTTGCTTAAAGAAGCTGTTGTGTGTCACCGGGTGAATACAAGTCAGGCATATTTAGGAGCTGCTGTTACATTCAGTTTTCTCTATGGTTGAGCAGAGAGGTGTATTGCTTTTTGAGTAATTTGAAAACTTGTCCAGGATTCCAGCATGGTTGCTTTTGGAGTCCTTTCCCTCTGTTAGGCCAAATGCCTAGTTTTGCTGATTCCATGCATTATAATTTTCTTTTTCTTTTTTTTGAGACAGGGTTTTACTCTGCCACCCAGGCTGCAGTGCAGAGGCCCTAATATGGCTCACTGCAGCCTCTGACCTCCCAGGCTCAAGCAGTCCTCCCACCTTAGCCTCCCAAGTTGCTGGGACTACTGTCACACACCACCAAACCTGGATAATTTTTGTATTTTTTATAAAGACGGGGGTTTCATTCACCATGTTGCCCAGGCTACTCTTGAACTCCTGAGCTCAAGCCATCCATCTGATGCAGCGTAACTTTCATCTTTGTCTTTTTGCCTAAATTTATCACATAAATTTATGGTCTGAGTCTTGTTGTGCACATGCCACAAGATAGACAGAAGGTCTTGTTCTTTGTGCTGCTTGTTGCCATTAGTAGATAAAAAAGATGGAATCTCAAAAAAAAAGAAAACAAAAAAGATGGAGCCTCACTCTGTCGCTCAGGCTAGAATGCAGTGGCATGATCTCAGCTCATTGCAACCTTCATCTCCCAGATTCAAGCAATTCTCCAGCCTCAGCCTTCTGAGTAGCTGGGATTAGAGGCATACAAAACCACGCCCAGCTAATTTTTTTTTTTTTTTTTTTTTTTTTTTTTTTGAGACGGAGTTTCACTCTTGTTACCCAGGCTGGAGTGCAATGGCGCGATCTCGGCTCACTGCAACCTCCGCCTCCTGGGTTCAGGCAATTCTCCTGCCTCAGCCTCCTGAGTAGCTAGGATTATAGGCACGTGCCACCATGCCCAGCTAATTTTTTGTATTTTTAGTAGAGACGGGGTTTCACCATGTTGACCAGGTTGGTCTCGATCTCTCGACCTTGTGATCCACCCGCCTCGGCCTCCCAAAGTGCTGGGATTACAGGCTTGAGCCACCGCGCCCGGCTTGCCCAGCTAATTTTTATGTTTTCTTTCTTTTGTTATTATTTTTTTAGTCAAGTGCAGTAGTGAGAATGGGGGAAAGAGTAGAACAAGGAGTTTGATCTGTAACTGACTGTGAATAATCAACTGAGATAACTCACTACCTTTCGACCAGCAGTTTTTATGTTTTCTAGTAGAGACAGGGTTTCGCCATGTTGGCCAGGCTGGTCTTGAACTCCTGACCTCAGATGATCCGCCTGCCTTGGCCTCCCAGAGTGCTGGGATTACAAGTGTGAGCCACTGCACCCAGCCCTCAGAGATACCTTATGCACAGCTAACAAGACTGTGTTTCTGAAATATGCCCTGGTCCATATGCACTTTGATCTCATGCATGCAATTCTGTATTCTTTTATTTATTTACTATTTTAAAATTTTTTCAGAGATAGAGTTTCTCTATGTCATCCAGGCTTGAATGCATTGGTGCAGTCAGCTCGTTGCAGCCTCACATTCCAGGCCTCAAGCAATCTTCCCCACCTCAGCCCCCTGAGTAGCTAGGACTACAGGCAGAAGCCACCATGCCTGGTACAGTTCTTTATCACCTTAGATCATTCTACTGAGTTGATACTTAGTTTAAGCTAAATGTTCAAAGTTCCTCTTTAATACGTTGCTTATGTTCGGTCTTCGTGACATACCTTCTGAATTCATATAGCCCCTTAATAGAAGTCATGAGCTGGGAAAACAGAAAATGTTTGAATATTCAGGGCATTTTTTTTTTTTTTTTTTTTTTAGGTGGAGTTTCGCTCTTGTTACCCAGGCTGGAGTGCAATGGCGCGATCTCAGCTCACCGCAACCTCCGCCTCCTGGGTTCAGGCAATTCTCCTGCCTCAGCCTCCCGAGTAGCTGGGATTACAGGCACGCGCCACCATGCCCAGCTAATTTTTTGTATTTTTAGTAGAGACGGGGTTTCACCATGTTGACCAGGATGGTCTCGATCTCTTGACCTCATGATCCACCCGCCTCGGCCTCCCAAAGTGCTGGGATTACAGGCGTGAGCCACCACGCTAGGCCCCTATTCAGGCATTCTAATTTGTAGACAGCAACTAAGAGTGTCCTCATTGTTTCCCCTTGGTTTGTTCACAGAGTCATTACCAGCTCCAGCTGTGCCCTGGTGCAGACTGCCCCATGGTTATTCGGGTACAGGAGCCTAGAGCTCGCCGAGTACAGTGCAATCGGTGCAACGAGGTCTTCTGGTAAGAGTGAGTGTGAGTGCTGAGCAGCCCTGGGCTCATGCCCCATCCTCCTTCACATGGAGCTATTGCTCCATGTGAGTGCAGCACTGGGAGAGGCAGGGTCTCTGGGCGAACAGAGCAGCTGTGCTCCAAGTGGGTAGGTTTGTGCCTAGCATCTCATATACCACTAGGTATTCAATACATGCTCAGTCTGGAGACAAGGAAGTGACACAGGTTCTTGGAAAATGTGTTGTGGCTTATGCTACTAAGTCTCATGGCCCAGAGATTGTATGAGGATGTATCTACCTGCATAGCAAATCACATATTACTGTGTTTGAAAGATACAATCTTCAACGTTTTAATCTTTCTCTGTCTTGGTCGTTCTTGGCTAATTTTTATTATTATTTATTTATTTATTTATTTTGAGATGGGATGTCACTCTGTCATCCATGCTGGAGTGCAGTGGTGCAATCTCGGCTCACTGCAACCTCCACCTCCCGGGTTCAAGCAATTCTCCTGCCTCAGCCTCCAGAGTAGCTGGGACTACAGGCGAGCACCACCACACCCAGCTAATTTTTTTATTTTTAGTAGACAGGGTTTCACCATGTTGACCAGGATGGTCTCCTGACCTTGTGATCTGACCGCCTCAGACTCTAGGCGTGAGCCACCATGCCCAACCTTCTTGGCTTATTTTTTATAAAACTAAGTCATAGGCCGGGCACGGTGGCTCACGCCTGTAATCCCAGCACTTTGGGAGGCCGAGACGGGTGGATCACGAGGTCAACAGATCGAGACCATCCTGTTCAACATGGTGAAACCCCGTCTCTACTAAAAATACTAACAATTAGCTGGGCATAGTGGCGTGTGCCTGTAATCCCAGCTACTCAGGAGGCTGAGGCAGGAGAATTGCCTGAACCCAGCAGACGGAAGTTGCAGTGAGCCGAGATCACGCCATTGCACTCCAGCCTGGGCAACAAGAGCGAAATTCCGACTCAAAAAAAAAAAAGAATCACTAATGTAATGGGTTGTTTTTTTGTTTTTTGGTTTTTTTTTTTTCATTTTAAATTAGGCAGCCCCCAGGATTACAGCAGATTCAGAGAGACTCCTTGTAGTTGTTCTTTATCCTTGTGTCCCAGTTTATCGACTCCTTTCCCTGGATATCTGCCTTGAGGGCCTTTTCTAGCCACAAAGTACTATTGGTGTGCACAAAACAAAAATTGAAAATATGGAAGCCTAGCCCGACATACTGGAGTGTCTTTCTTTTCTGTTTTAAATTTCAGGGTCATCAGATGTATCATGACCCTACAGATTTTGCAGGTTCTGGCATTTGTGCATCCTTGTGTGCACGTCTCACTGGTAGATCAGATGAGACTCCCAGAAGTGGATCGCAGTCCTGCCTTATGGTCGGAACTAAGGAATCCTTCTCAGAGTACCTCACCATGCCCTTTGAGAGTCATAGCTCTGTCTGACATCCTGGGGGTTGATAAACAAGATGTTTACAGAAATATATATATATATATATATATTTTTTTTTTTTTTTTTTTTTGTAGAGACAGAGTCTTGTTCTGTCACTAGGCGCCAGACTGGAGTGCAGTGGCACAATCTCGGCTCACTGCAACCCCTGCCTCCCGGGTTCAAGCAATTCCCCTGCCTCAGCCTCCTGAGTAGCTGGGACTATAGGTGCACACCACCATGCCCAGCTGATTTTCGTATTTTTTAGTAGAGTTGGGGTTTCACCATGTTGGCCAGGATGGTCTCAATCTCTTGACCTCGTGATCCACCCGCCTTGGGCTCCCAAAGTGCTGGGATTACAGGCGTGAGCCACCGCGCCTGGCCAGAAGTGTGTATATATATATACCATCCTGGTCAACATGGTGAAACCCTGTCTCTACTAAAGATACAAAAAATTAGCTGGGCATGGTGGCACGTGCCTGTAATCCCAGCTACTCAGGAGGCTGAGGCAGGAGAATTGCTTGAACCCGGGAGGCGGAGGTTGCGGTGAGCCGAGATCGCGCCATCGCACTCCAGCCTGGGTAACAAGAGCGAAACTCCATCTCAAAAAAAAAAAAAATACAAAACATTAGCTGTGCATGGTGGCACGTGCTTGTAATCCCAGCTACTCAGGAGGCTGAGGCAGGAGAATCGCCTGAACCCAGGAGGCGGAGGTTGTGGTGAGCCGAGACCACGCCATTGCACTCCAGCCTGGGTGACGAGAGCAAAAACTCCATCTCAAAAACAAACAAACAAACAAACAAAACAAAAAATAGCCAGGCGCGGTGGCAGGCGCCTGTAATCTCAGCTGCTCAGGAGGCTGAGGCAGGAAAATCACTTGAACCTGGAAAGCAGAGGTTGCAGTGAGCTGAGATCATGCCATTGCACTGCAGCCTGGATGACAAGAGCAAAACTCTGTCTCAAAAAAAATTGTAGAGACAAGGTCTCCTTATTTCCCTAGGTTGGTCTCAAACTCCTGGTCTAAAGCAGTCCTCCCACCTTGGCCCCACAAAGTGTTGGGATTATAGGTGTGAACTTCTGCACCTGGTCAACAGATTTTTTTTTGTTCTTTTTGAGACAGGGTCTCTCTCAGTTGCCCACACTGAAGTGCAATGATACGAACATAGCTCACTGCATCCTTGACCTCCAGAGCTCACGTGATCCTCCTTCCCTAGACTCTCTAGTAGCTGGGACTACAGGCACATACTACCACACCTGGATAATTTTTTATTTTTTTGTAGAGATGAAGTCTCATCATGTTGCCCAGGCTGGTTTCAAACTCCTGGGCTCGAGCAATCCTCCCACCTTGGCCTCTGAAAGTGCTAGGATTACAAACATGAACCACTGCACTCAGCCTATAGACACATGTGTCTGTGCATGTTAGATCATGTCTTATAAGGGCTTAAATGAAAAGACATTCATGCAGCTATTTCAGTAATAATCCTAGGAAAGTAAATGTCCCATAGGCCTTGAGAGATAACTTTATTTGAAAAGCTCTAGGCCAGGCATGGTGCCTCACGCCTGCACTTTGGGATCCCAAGGTAGGTGGATCACTAACTAGGTCAAGAGATCAAGACCATCCTGGCCAACATGGTGAAACTCCGTCTCTACTGAAAATACAAAAATTAGTTGAGTGTGGTGCCACGTGCCTGTAGTCCTAGGTACTTGGGAGGCTGAGGCAGGAGAATCACTTGAACCCAGGAGATGGAGGTTGCAGTCAGCTGAGATCGTGCCACTATACGCCAGCCTGGCAATGGAGTGAGACTCTGTTTCAAACAAAAAAAAAAGAAAAACTCTAATTCAGGATTTGTTGGTTTGGATAAAAGGAAAATTTTAAACATGGGACTCTGACTTAATATTTGAACGTTTTTCTTTTCCAATTTTTAAGTTTCAAGTGTCGTCAGATGTATCATGCACCCACAGACTGCGCCACTATCCGGAAATGGCTCACGAAGTGTGCAGACGACTCTGAAACAGCCAACTACATTAGTGCTCACACTAAAGATGTAAGGACCATATTTTACCTCTCATGGATCTGCCCTCTTTAGTGGTGCCCAGGGCCTTGCCTTGGAGATTTGCCATCTGAGAGCAGAATACTCAGAGCTCCAGGGCCCATCCTGAGGACTTGGGGTTGGGGATCCTCAAGCAGATTTCGCAGCTTTTAGCAGTTTATCATCAGATGTATTGGGTGCATTTTTAAAAATTATGAAATGTTAAAATTCTGGGAAAGTTTGACCCAAAGGGGCAACTAATTAGAAGAGAGCTAATTATGATTGAATGCCTACCAGCCTTTAACAGCCTTGGGAAGGAGGTCGTTAAGAGCCACACCTGGTGCATAGTAAGGCTGTAATGCAAGCCCAGACCTGCACAATAATCATTTTGAAGTTTTCCATGGGAAAATATGGCCTGTGGGCTCTAGGGGCCGCTGTACCTTTGTCCGTCAGTCGTCGAGTCAGTGCACTCACAAGCACGGCTGTATTAACGACATCATTAAACATAGTCTACTTCACGGCAGTGCGAGATCACAGAATCAGATTGGTTTCTGCATTGCTGCCTCAGGTTGCTGGCATCTCTCAAATGAGAGAGAGGAGCTTTAGATGTGGATTCCTTGCCCACTTCTGGAAGCAGAAGTCCAGGCAAGCTGACAAGGACTGAATCCATCGTGGCAGCTCCTGTGCTTCCTTGGCAGTCCTCTCAAGTAGGCAGGCTTTCTGCTGATTCAGCCTGTGCTTAATCTGAGCAGTTTCATGGCAGGGGCAGATGGTGGAAGACTTAGTGGGGCTCAGCTGGTGCTTGAAATGTTTCAAAGCCAAATATGCTGACCTCATTTCCTTGAATTGCTGTTCCAGCCTCAGCAACCTGCACATTTAAGTGAGATGCTCCTCCCCAGAAGTGCTCACATGATGAGTGACTGGGCACAGATGCCAGGAGCTTTGTGTAATTTGTCTTAAAACCAGCCCAGTGGTGTATAAGCCTAATGGCACCCTTCTGTCTCCTCAGTGTCCCAAGTGCAACATCTGCATTGAGAAGAATGGAGGCTGCAATCATATGGTAAGCAGAAGCCTGTACACTTTGCCTGTGTGACATGGAGACTTTGGTCAGTGTGCCCTTAACATGTTCTCTTCTGTTTTCTTCTGACAGCAATGCTCCAAATGTAAACACGGTGAGTTCCAAGCTTGGTATGTAAGGCCCAGTGACATTTTCTTGTGCTTGGGTCTTCGTTACTATTTAAGTGAGTACTTCTGCCATGAAATGACAGAACATAGAAGAGCCTCAGTCACTTACAGTCACAATAACTGGCATAAAGTAGCTTATTTTATTTTATTTTTTGGTCCCTCTTATAACCCCACTACTATCTTGCTAACACATATAGTCAGAAGTCAAGTTTGGGATAATCCTCATGATCCTCAGTCATCCAAGAAGATGATTTCAGGGTGTTGCTTTCATTCTTTTTGCCAAGGCTGGTAAGTAGCTTGGGGCTTATCTGTGATACCCTAGAGATATCTTTACCAGAGGTAGTAAAATAATGGTTTTCCCTTGCTGTTTTACAAAGTTTATAGAGGGGGTTTTGATTTAGCATTTCAGACCTCCTTTATCGATCAGGAGTAGTTTACATAGCTAGAACCAATTGGTTTTGCATGCCTTCCTGCCAGATCAACTGAAGAAACAGAATCCCTTCAAATAGAAAATATGTCCAAGTAGGTCTCCTACACAGCTGCTTTGATGCTCATCAGGAGCCCCTGAGAGTTTCTACTTTTTTTTTTGAGACAGAGTCAGTCTCTGTTGCCCAGACAGGAGTGTAGTGGTACGATCTCTCTCTCCTGGGTTCAAGTGATTCTCTTGCCTCAGACTCTTGAGTAGCTGGGATTACAGTCATGTGTCACTACGCCCAGCTAATTTTTGTATTTTGGTATTTTTTTTTTTTTTTTTTGAGACGGAGTTTCGCTCTTGTTACCCAGGCTGGAGTGCAATGGCGCGACCTCGGCTCACCGCAACCTCCGCCTCCTGGGTTCAGGCAATTCTCCTGCCTCAGCCTCCTGAGTAGCTGGGATTACAGGCACGTACCACCATGCCCAGCTAATTTTTTTGTATTTTTAGTAGAGACGAGGTTTCACCATGTTGACCAGGATGGTCTCGATCTCTCGACCTCGTGATCCACCCGCCTCGGCCTCCCAAAGTGCTGGGATTACAGGCTTGAGCCACCGCGCCCGGCCTAATTTTTGCATTTTTCATAGAGATGAGTTTTGCCACGTTGGCCAGTCCTGACCTCAGGTGATCCACCTGCCTTGGCCCCCCAAAGTGCTGAGATTATAGGAGTGAGCCACTGTGCCCAGCTGAGAGTTTCTCTTTGTAAGGGCCTGTGTAAATGCTATTCCCGGGAACCCTCTTTTCTTTTTTCTTTTGAGACAGAGTCTCTGTCACTCCCAGGCTGGAGTGCAGTAGCATAATCTCGGCTCATTGCAACCTCTGCCTCCCAGGTTCAAGCAGTTTTCCCACCTCAGCCTTCTGAGTAGCTGGGATTACAGGTGCTCACCACGCCTGGCTAGTTTTTTATATTTTTAGTAGAGAAGGGGTTTCACCGTGTTGGCCAGGCTGGTCTCAAACTCCTTACCTCAGGTGATCTGCCTGCCTTGGCCTCCCAAAGTGCTGGGATTAAAGGTGTGAGCCACCATGCCTGGCCTTTTTTTTTTTTTTTTAAGATGGAGTTTTGCTCTTGTCACCCAGGCTGGTGTACAGTGGTGTGAACCTATCTCCCAGGTTCAAGCGATTCTCCCTCAGCCTCCCTAGTAGCTGTGATTATAGTCGCCACCACCACACCTGGCCGATTTTTGTATTCGTTGGCCAGGCTGGTCTCAAACTCATGACCTCAGGTGATCCACCTGCCTTGAACTCCCAAAGTGCTGGATTACAGGCATGTGCCACCACATCCAGCCCCAAGACCCCTCTTAATCAGAGTGGTCATGGCAGAGTCTTAGCAACACTGACTCTGCAAAGTGCCAAACAAAGATAGGCCATAGGTAGTGGCATATTTCTTCTGTGGGTCCACACTCTTTCTTTCTCTTTTTCTATGTATATATCAGAGAGGGAAGTGTATCATAGACTTAGAACAATGCAAAAGACACATACAGTTTAAAGAATAATGACAAACACCCCAGCACCAACTACATTTCTAGTGCCTAAGAAGCAGTCTGGGTGTCCATATCCCTTGACACTCAAGGTTAACTGCCATTTCATGAGAATCACTTGAACCCAGGAGGCAGAGGTCACAGTGAGCTGAGATCGTGCCACTGTACTGGCTAATTTTTTTTTTTTTTTTTTTTTTTTGAGTAGATACGAGGGTTTCACCATGTTGGCCAGACTGGTCTTGAACTTCTGACCTCAGGTAATCCACCCACCTTGGCTTCTCAAGAGTGCTGGGATTACAGATATGAGCTACTGCGCTCAGCCAAAGCAGAATAATCCTGAGTATGAACCACTGGATAGCTTTCGGTTTTATAGAAATGTGTTCTTTGCCAGGCACATTCCTCATATGTGTAATCCCAGCACTTTGGGAGGCAGAAATGGGCAGATCACTGAATGTTGGGAGTTTGAGACCAGCCTGGCCAACATCGTGAAACCCTATCTCTATTAAAAATACAGAAATTAGCCAGGCGTATTGGCGGGCACCTGTAATCCCAGCTACTCTGGAGGCTGAGGCAGGAAAATCGTTTGAACCTGGGAGGAGGTTGCAGTGAGCTGAGATCACACCACTGCACTTCAGCCTAGGGGACAGAGTAAGACTCCGTCTCAAAAAGAATAGGAAATGTGTTCTTTAAAACAGAAAAAAAGGGAAAGAATCCTTTATTATTAGCTTCATATACAGAAATCTTTCTAGGACAAGTGTGATGGTAGGAAGCAGTTGGGAGGTCAGTTTTTACTGATGATGTGTGTTGAGACAGTCAGGTGGTCCTCATTTGGACGAGTTCCTGCTTCTCATTGTTGCATTGACATAGCAGAACAGTAGTCTATACGCTCAGCATCTGCCTGTGTTAGATTAATAAGGCACGTGGCGCATGTGCTGGAGTAGAAATTATCCGTAAGTAGCCGCATGGAGTGGCTCAGGCCTGTAATCCCAACACTTTGGGAGGCCTAGGTGAGCAGATCATGAGGTCAGGAGTTTGAGACCAACCTGGCCAACATGGTGAAACCCTGTCTCTACTAAAAATACAAAAATTAGCTGGGTGTGGTGGCATGTGCCTGTAATCCCAGCTACTTCGGAGAATCGCTTGAACCAGGGAGTAAGAGGTTACAGTGAGCTGAGATTGCACCATCACACTCTAGCCTAGCAACAGAGTGAGACTCCGTCTCAAAAAAAAGGAAGAAAGAAAGAAATTATCCATAGGCTATTGTTCATATCAGCAAGTATAGGCTACAAGGACAGTAGGATGTGACAGGGATGAGAGGTGCACATTCCTTCTGGAAAGAGGCACCCTGGCAAAGTTCTTTTCAGGTGACCACTTTGGAGCTGGGTCTGTCTCACTTTGCCTGTGGAGGAAAGTGGAGTTGTCTTGTGGATGTAAATGACTTTTCTCTGTTTTGCACAGACTTCTGCTGGATGTGTCTAGGAGATTGGAAGACTCATGGCAGTGAATACTATGAGTGCAGTCGTTACAAGGAGAATCCTGACATTGTGAACCAGAGCCAACAAGCCCAGGCAAGGGAAGCCCTCAAGAAGTACTTATTTTACTTTGAGAGGGTAGGTGTCCTCTTCTGTACCTTCCCCTACAGGGTTGGCTTCTTCCACTTGGCCTGTTGGGGTGGGATTCCCATGGACTGGTAGCCAGAGCCAGCCTGTACACACAGAAGTCAGTGAATGGAGCTCCTGCAGTATCCCTGGGTACTGCCTGTATAGATGTGCCTTTCAAGCTCTGCAGGGTATCCCCAGCCAACAGGGAAGGACCTGGTACTGACCTTGGTTGAATGATGGATTATTATTTTCTTTTTTTGAGACGGAATCTCGCTCTGTTGCCCAGGCCAGAGTGCAGTGGCATGATCTCGGCTCACTGCAACCTCCGTCCCCCCAGGTTTGAGTGATTCTCCTGCCTCAGCCTCCTGAGTAGCTAAAACTACAGGCGCCCACCGCCATGCCTGGCTAATTTTTGTAATTTTTAGCAGAGACAGGGTTTTGCCATATTGGCCAGGCTGGTCTTGAACTCCTGACCTTGTGATCTGCCCGCCTCAGCTTCACAAAATGTTGGGATTATAGGCGTGAGCCACTGCACCCAGCCAAATGATTGGTTGAAGGACAGTGAAGGGCCATCAGACAGTCTTTTCCATCTAATGCCATTTTTTTTCTTTTTTCTATGTTTTAAATTTTTATTCATTTTTTTCTTTTTGTCCTCACAATCTTCCCATAGTATCATCTTAGTAGTCAGATTTAGAAACAGATTAGTAACCTTAGTAGTAGAAACAGATTTGGAAAGCTGTTTCTCCTTTCTGAAGGAGCCCTTCAGAAGCCCAAAGAACACAGTAGACCATCAGGGGCTTAGCTTTGCATAGTCCTCAGGGCTGGAGTCCCATTGCTCCAGAAAGGTAGTGTGATCTGGCAGGCATACAGCTGCTCTGGACAGGTTAGAAGGATGGCTGAAGATGATCCGCTCCTGCACTTTTTCTCCATAAGTTAGAGGAGTCTGTGGCCATGTCCTGCCAGCTAGGTGTCTGTCCTCAACTCCTGTGTAGACCTCTGCACCTTCGTGGGACTCCTGTGGTTTTCTCCTTCCTTCTGTGCCCTGTAGTGGGAAAACCACAACAAAAGTTTGCAGCTAGAGGCACAGACATACCAGCGGATTCACGAGAAGATTCAGGAGAGGGTCATGAACAATCTGGGGACATGGATCGACTGGCAGTACCTACAGAATGCTGCCAAGCTCTTGGCCAAGGTATCTACCACTTCACTCATCCTATCCCTGGTCTAGTGCCTGGCCCCATCAGGCACAGATCTCTGAAAGTGGGAAGCCCTATTGGGAGAGGGTATTTTAGCACCCTGTGCAGCCTTCCATGCTTCTGCTTGTGGATCCACATCTTCATTTGCTGTGCGCATCAAGGACCCAGTTCTCTGCTGGATGTCCGAGGGATTTCTAAGAGTGTTACACTGCCTCTGCCTGCAGGGAAAACTAGAGCCCTTTACTTCTCCTTTGTCCTGTGTATGCATCACTCCAAAGGAAAATAAAAGATTGTCTGAAGGGTTGGGCACGGTGGCTCACACCTGTAATCCCAGCACTTTGGGAGGCTGAGGCAGGCGGATCAGTTGATGTTAGGGTGGATCACTTGAGGTCAGGAGTTTGAGACCAGCCTGGCCAACATGGTGAAACCCCATCTCTACTAAAAATACAAAAATTAGCTGAGTGTGGTGGCACATGCCTATAGTCCCAGCTACTTGGGAGGCTGAGGCACGAGAATCCCTTGAACCTGGGAGGCAGAGGCTGCAGTGAGGCAAGATCATGCCATTATACTCCAGCCTGGGCAACAGAGCAGGACTGTGTCTCAGAAAAAAAGATTGGGCAGGGTGCCTGTGATCCCAGCACTTTGGAAGGCCAAGGCAGGTGGATTGCTTGAGCCCAGGAGTTTGAGACCAGCCTGGGCAACATGATAAAACACCTTCTCTACAAAAAAATACAAAAATTAGCCTGGTGTGGTGATGCATACCTGTAGTCCCAGCTACTTGGAAGGGTGAGATGGGAGGATCACTTGAGTCTGGGAGGCAGAGGTTACAGTGAGTGGGGATTGCACCACTGCACTCCAGCCTGGGCAATAGACCAAGACCATTTCAGGGTAAAAAAAAAAAGAGAGAGAGAGAGAAGAGATTGTCTTTGGGTAAGCATTGAGACAGATGTGTGTGGACTCTGATTGAGGCAGCTGCCGGTAATTAATCAGTTTGTAAAAGGAAGTCTGGGTGTTCTGTGACCATTGTTGTTTGTTTTTTCCCCATGTCTTTTCCCAGTTCATCCTCTGTTTGGCTTAGTATCATTTCTTTTAGGCCCATACCTATAGAGCTAGGCTAATTTGCATGCTGGGGCTAGGAATTGTAAGAGCCACCTGAGATGCAGGTAGCTTAGAATCATAGACACAGGTCCCTTCTCTTCTCTCCTGTTGCAGTGTCGATACACCCTGCAGTACACCTACCCATATGCATATTACATGGAATCTGGACCCAGGAAGAAGCTGGTAAGGCAAAGCAATTTTTCTCCTCTGTCCTATTAGCCTTAAAGGTGCCCTTCTTTACCAGCACTTTGCAGGACAGTGAAGACCAGACCCTGGTCATTAGGAAGGCAAATTTAAAACAGCACTGTTTAATTGCAAAATTCCACTTCTACTCTGGGCACTTCCAAAATAGATCTAAGGTGCTGTTGTTTTGTGTAATATAAGGCACATGCACCTAATCCTCTGAACAACTATATTTATAGGGCGATTGGCTAAAGAGGTCTCTGGCCATGTGGGAGGCCAGTGCCCATGCTTGGGAGGGATATTTAGTGCATGTCCTTAAGATATATTTGACTGTTTGTTTTATACCTTGTTTAATTCTTCATCTTAGAGTTGAATTTGGATATGAATTTATTGTTATTAAATGTTAATAAACTGGTAATTCACATTTTTGTTTAAATCTTGGAAAACAGAGAAGCATTTACATTGTCCAGAAAGAATTTACCACTGTTAGCATTTTCCAGCTGTTTAAAATTAATATTGTGTGCCAGGCATGGTGGTGCGTGCCTGTAGTCCCAGCTATTCAGGAGGCTGAGGCTGGAGGATCTCTTGAGTCCAGGAGTTCTGGGCTGTAGTGAGCTATGCCGATCGGGTGTCCGCACTAAGTTCGGCATGAATATGGTGACCTCCCGGGAGTGGGGGACCACCACCAGGTTGCCTAAGGAGGGGTGAACCGGCCCAGGTCGGAAAGGGAGCAGGTCAAAACTCCTGTGCCGATCAGTAGTGGGATCGCGCCTGTGAATAGCTACCGCACTCCAGCCTGGGCAACATAGCGAGACCCTGTCTCTTAAAATAAAAAAAAATAAATAAATAAATAAATAAATAATATTGTGTATATAATCAAGGTTATGTAAAACTTTTTTTTTTTTTTTTTTTTTGAGACGGAGTTTCGCTCTTGTTACCCAGGCTGGAGTGCAATGGCACGATCTCGGCTCACCACAACCTCCGCCTCCTGGGCTCAGGCAATTCTCCTGCCTCAGCCTCCTAAGTAGCTGGGATTACAGGCATGCACCACCACGCCCAGCTAGTTTTTTGTATTTTTAGTAGAGACGGGGTTTCACCATGTTGACCAGGATGGTCTCGATCTCTTGACCTCGTGATCCACCCGCCTCGGCCTCCCAAAGTGCTGGGATTACAGGCTTGAGCCACCGCGCCCGGCCGAACTTTTTTTTTTTTGAGACAGTTTCGCTCTTGTTGCTCAGGCTGGAGTGCAATGATGTGATTTTGGCTCACCGCAACCTCTGCCTCCCAGGTTCAAGTGATTCTCCTGCCTCAGCCTCCCGAGTATCTAGGATTACAGGCATGAACCACCACGCCCCACTAATTTTTTATTTTTTATTTTTAGTAGAGACGGGGTTTCACCGTGTTGGTCAGGCTGGTCTTGAACTCCTGACCTTGTGATCCTCCGGCCTCAGCCTCCCAAAATGCTGGTATTACAGGCATGAGCCACCATGCCCAGTAGCATTTTATTTTTGTAACAGTTTATTGTTATAGCTGTCATGATTTACCTGTCTGGTAAATACCATTTTGTTAACGGTTGCGTAAGTGTGCTATTAATTGGTTGTACATCACTTGGGACATTTATTCTTTTTCTTTTTTTTTGCTGTAAATAGGACATTCAGAAACGTTTTTGTGCATAAAACTTATCTTCTTAGATATATAATTACTAAGTCAGATTTAAGTTTGAGTATTTTTAAGGCTTTTGATTTGCAGAAGAAAAAAAATGAAGTGATAGTATCTGAGAATATGCGTTTGACTTATTTTTTTAATTTACTATTACTATTTTTTTGAGACGGAGTTTCGTTCTTGTTACCCAGGCTGGAGTGCTATGGTACAATCTCTGCTCACCGCAACCTCCGCCTCCTGGGTTCAGGCAATTCTCCTGCCTCAGCCTCCTGAGTAGCTGGGATTACAGGCACGTGCCACCATGCCCAGCTAATTTTTTTGTATTTTTAGTATAGACGGGGTTTCACCATGTTTTTTTTGTTTGTTTGTTTTGTTTTTTGTTTTTTTGTTTGTTTGTTTGTTTGTTTTTTGAGACGGAGTTTCGCTCTTGTTACCCAGGCTGGAGTGCAATGGCGCGATCTCGGCTCACCGCAACCTCCGCCTCCTGGGCTCAGGCAATTCTCCTGCCTCAGCCTCCTGAGTAGCTGGGATTACAGGCACGCGCCACCATGCCCAGCTAATGTTTTGTATTTTTAGTAGAGACGGGGTTTCACCATGTTGACCAGGATGGTCTCGATCTCTTGACCTCGTGATCCACCCACCTCGGCCTCCCAAAGTGCTGGGATTACAGGCTTGAGCCAGCGCACCCGGCCCGGTTTCACCATGTTAACCAGGATGGTCTCGATCTCTTGACCTCGTGATCCACCCGCCTCGGCCTCCCAAAATGCTGGGATTACAGGCTTGAGCCACCGCGCCCGGCCTTGACTTATTTTTTTACAGCATCCGTTCCCTTTCATATTGGGAGCATTCTCTTCAGTGGCTTAAATTTTTCCCCTTCCTTTGGGAGTGTGGAGGATAGAGTTGAGCTTTTGCGGGTGAAGGGTGAGTGTGGCCTTGCTATTTGGATAGCCTTTTGTTTGGATTCTGACTCTGGGAACATGGAATAACAGCACTTTTTGAGGACACTATCAGGATTGTCTGTAGTTCCTGTGAGCCTGTGGTGCTACGTGTGCCCCACCTCCCCAGCCCCCATCTACAGGCCCTGCCCTAGCCATAGCCCACTCACCTTTTGACCCTCCTGCTCTGCCTATGCAGTTTGAATACCAGCAGGCTCAGCTGGAGGCTGAGATTGAAAACCTCTCATGGAAAGTGGAACGTGCGGACAGTTATGACAGAGGGGTAAGTGCCTACTATCCTCCTGGATTCTATATTGCAGGTAAAGAAGGACTGGCATACTAATAGGTGACAGGGTTGTTGGTTTGTGCACTGGAAGCTGCTACTAAGAATGGGAAGGGCAGTGCTTTTGACTCCTTGGAGGCCCTGGAGGGTGTTTGCGGCTTTGTCTACTTCTTGCTCCCAGGCCTGGGCCATGCAAGCAGACACCTTGTTTCTGTGATGCAGGACTTGGAGAATCAGATGCATATAGCGGAGCAGCGGAGGAGAACCCTGCTGAAGGATTTCCATGACACCTAAGTTGGGATGTGGATGTGCTGGGGTGAGGAAGATGTGGCTGCAAGGTCTCCCAGCTGCTGTACTGCATGCTGCAGGCTCTGCCTTTCATGACCCCAGGCGACAGCCAGGGCCCCACTCCTGAGAGACACTGGCAACACTTCTTAGTTGATTTCTGTTTTTTTCTCTTTTCACTTTTTGTTTCTACCAGGGTAGAGGCCATGTTGAACTGGCCTCTTTTCAGGACTTTTATTTCCCCCTGGATGGTTGTTGGGAGGGAGGGAAAGTGTTTTCTGAATGGCTGTTATTAGTATTAGATCATTACAACTTATGTAACTTTCAAAGGTTGTACAATTATACAAAGAAAAAAAAAAAGGCAAACTATAGGATAACACAGAGCCCTTTTTGAAAATAAATTGGCGTTGGAGTGTTTTACCCTCTAGCTGTTTTACTTAGAATGTAACATATGCTGCCTACCCACCTCAAAATGTCTGTACTACAAGAGGACCCTGGGCCTCTGCTTTCCATATTCACATTTGTTTGGCTGGAGTTGGAGTCCCAAGGGAAGAGCATGGGTGGCAGATGGTAGGGAACTGAACTAGCCTGTGCAGTGGGCACGGAGCACAAGGAGTCACAGCATGTCTTCTGCCTTACCATGGCAGTATGGAGATGGTCCAGAACACAGTCTTCTTGCCATGGGCTGTTGTTTTCTCTGGTGGTGCTGCATGTCTGTGGCTCACATTTATTCTTGAAACTGAGGTTTACCGGGATCTGGCTACTGGGGCTAGAGCCCACAGCAGAATGGGGGTGGGCCTGTGGCCCTCCAAACTAGGGGACATAGGTCCAGCACCGTGTTTTCCTTTTGTCTCCTAAAGATAGGGATCTACTTTTGAAGGGAATTGTTCCTCCCAAATAAATTTGCTTTACCTTGGTCCTTTCTTTTGTGCCAGTATTCAAGTGGTATAGCTCTGAGCAGGTCACACTTGGCCATACCTGACACTGTCTTGCTGCATTCTCCTCTGGCAAACATCAAGGTCAGAATTCAGCATAGCCCTCCTTAGGGCACTGGCCTTCCTGACATGGGGGCCAGGTTTGCACAAGTTATTTTCATGTTACCTAGAGCATGTCCAGAGGCTGCTCTGAGGCTGAGGTGTATTCCCCCTTGCCTGGTTCCAGCTGTCAGAGGATACCATCCATCCTGGGGTCTGGGAGTCCAAGGCCACGGGACTCCTTGGTTTGTGGTCCCAGATCCTGTACTAGGAGGGTCAGACCAGCTTTTGCACAGTCAAGTGCAAGGGAGCAGGTAGTTTGCCTGGTGTCCTACCTATCCTGAATCTGGTCCTGGGGTGCCTTCGAAAAGTTAGATCTGTGATCTCTGAGGTTTTTGTGGCTTTGTTCAGTGCTTCCACTCTAGGCCAGGCAGAGTAGTCTATACTCTACCAGGCCTGCTTGACCTCCAGGGAGAGCTAATACAGAGATCTGTGAATATTGTGATAGAAATTCTTTGATATTCATACATTTCACCTGCAAGTCGGCAATTTCCCAGGTACCATGTGAGCTATGAAACAGCCATTCTTGAAGACAAATGATAGCTGTAATTCTTGGAATCATGAGGTCCATGGTTAGTTGGAGGTTCCCTTTCTCCCTCCTCAGGTTTTGTCTCTTCCTGTGTTCCCAGCAAGGAAAGGACTGCGGGGTGGATTGGGAGAACAAATTAGGAGTATAGCAAATGAACCCAGAATGGAACAGTGGGGAGCTGTGAACGAGGAGAGGACCTGCTGCAGGACCTGGAAGTCAGGTATGAATGCTGTGTTGGCACAAGGAATAAATATCCTGGTGTCTGGAGCCTTTATCTCTCCATCAAGTCCTTCCTGTGATACCACCATGGCACAGGATCTGAGTTGTAGCTCTGCACCCTGAATTACACCCTGGGCATTGTCTGGGCTGCAGGGCTACCGGATTCTGCAGTTGTGTGCAGCTGTGGCCCTGGATGCTGGAGCTGCACGGTTTTCTGTGCTCAGACTGTAGCCTGTAGCTCTTGGCCTGTGTAGAGCCGCCTTCTGTGCCCCCAGTGGCTGTCGTTTGTTAACATTATCAGGAAGATGGGAAAGGTCAGGCAGAATTTTTCTGCCCTACAAAGGGCAGAAGAGAAGGGACACAGTATTTTCATGAATTTACCATATCTCTTTGTTTTTCTTCAAAGAAAAAGTTAATTGAGGCAATGTCATCTGCTCAAAGTTGAGTGGTTTATTCACAATAAACTAAATTTCTGATTATAAAAATGTGTCTAGTCTTTCTTCATGGGGTCTAGGTAGTCTTCTGAGCCCATAGGGGTCTGGCCAGTGAACACCAGAGGCGTACCTTCCTATCAGTCAGCCCCTTCCACAGTCAGAGGGGCTGTGGAGGCTCCACTGGCCAAATTCGGCTCTTATTTTCCCTTTCTGGCTGTCAGTGGGGAGGGCACCTGTAAGCTATCCCAGTGGTTGGAAGTAGAAAATCCTGGCAGTTTTCAGTTCTTGTCTCCTTCCCTGTGTACAGGCTGAATCATTCCCCAACACAAACAGATCCCAGGGTTGCAATAGGGTACTGATAATAAATGTCCCAAACCCCCCATTCTGAGATCTCTGGGCCTCTCTAAAGCAGACATGGGAGTGTAGGGCTGTGGAGTATGGCAGGACAAACTCTAGCTTCATGGGAGTCCTAAGGCTTACGAAGAGACAACTTGGGATAGAAACTGAAGTGTGGAGTATAATCTCAAGAGTGAAAGACAGGAAATGGGGTTTGGATTGATTAAGGGGACCACATTTGTGGTGTCAGGAATGGCAGTAATGTCAGTGTTAGGTAGCTCAAGGGTAAAGTGGAGGCTCAATAGCTGTGGGCAGCATGCACAGGGTATCCATGGCCAGAAGAGGCCTCATACACTGCCAGTCTGAACTCTGCAGCTCTTCCTCTGGACCTCAGCTGTGCCAACCCCCATGCTTGGCACCTGGGCATGCAGTAGTATGCAAGTGATGCTTGTGCTCTACCTTCCAGGAGCTTCCAGTCCATGGGGGACACAGAAGGAATTGGTCACTAGTGAGTGTTTTTTGTTTTGTTTTGACACAGTCTCACTCTATCACACAGACTGGAATACAGTGGCATGATCTCTGCGGCCTCCACTTTTGTGCTCAAGTGATCATTCCACTTCAGCCTTCTGAGTAGCTGGGACCAGTGTATGCCACCACACACCTAATTTTTATATTTTTTTGTAGAGACAGGGTCTTGCCATGTTGTCCAGACTGGTCTCCAACTCCTGAATTCATGTTATCTTCCCAAAGTGCTGGGATTACAAGCATGAGCCATTGTGTCCAGCCCACTAGTGAATGTTTTTACTGGAGCAGCAAGGCCAGACCAGGAGCAAAGGATCACCTATGCACAAGACCACTCCTGCAGATCAGTGGGACAGGATACTATGGCCTTAAGAGATAAGGAGATAGCACCTTGTAGCGAAGTCAAGAGGTGAGATTTTCCATGTAGTCCCCAGAGGTTCACACAGTAAGTACCTGAGCATCTTCTGTATAATAGGCTTTGTTTGGGGTACTAAGGACCCAGCCACCAATGAGTGGGATAGAAAGGGGTAGAAGCGGAACCAGCTTCTGTCCTAACAAGATAATCACACTAATGTTAACTGATAACAAACCCATTTAGTCCTCACAGCAACACCTTGAGGTAGGTGCTGTCATCACATTACACAGCCATTTAAAATGAGAGCTAGGAGCCCAGCCTGGTGACTCACGCCTGTAATCCCAGCACTTCAGGAGGCTGCGACAGGAAAACTCTTGAACCCCAGGAGTTCATGGCCAACCTGGACAACATAGGGAAACCTGTTTATTTAAAAAAAAATTAGCTGGGCACGGTAGCGGACACCTGTAGTCCCAGCTACTAGGGAGGCTGAGGTAGGAGGACTGCTTGGGCCTGGTGGGTAGGTGTCCAGCCTGGGTGACAGAGCAAGACCCTGTCTTAAAAAACAATAACTAGGCCAGGTGCGGTGGCTTACACCTGTAACCCCAGCACTTTGGGAGGCCGAGGTGGGCGGATCACGAGGTCAAGAGATCGAGACCATCCTGGCCAACATGGTGAAACACCGTCTCTACTAAAAATACAAAAATTAGCTGGGCATGGTGGTAATCCCAGCTACTCAGGAGGCTGAGGCAGGAGAATTGCTTGAACCCTGGAGGCAGAGGTTGCAGTGAGCCGAGATTGCGACACTGCACTCTAGCCTGGCGACAGAGCAAGACTCTGTCTCAAAAAAAAAAAAAAAAAAAAAAAAAAAAAAAAAATGCTGGGCGCGGTGGCTCACACCTATAATCCCAGCACTTTGGGAGGCCGAGGCAGGTGGATCACGAGGTCAAGGGATCGAGACCATCCTGGTCAACATGGTGAAACCCCGTCTCTACTAAAAAATACAAAAATTACCTGGGCATGGTGGCGCATGCCTGTAGTCCCAGCTACTCAGGAGGCTGAGGCAGGAGAATTGCTTGAACCCAGGAGGCGGAGGTTGCGGTGAGCCGAGATCGTGCCATTGCACTCCAGCCTGGGTAACGAGAGTGAAATTCCGTCTCAAAAAAAAAAACACATCAATACAGCCGGGTGCGGTGGCTTACACCTGTAATCCCAGCATTTTGGGAGGCCAGGGCGGGCAGATCACCTGAGGTCGGGAGTTCGAGAACATGGTGAAACCCCTGTCTCTACTAAAAAATACAAAAAATTAGCTGGGCGTGGTGGTGGGCGCCTGTGAGCTACTTGGGAGGCTAAGGCAGGAGAATCACTTGAACCCAGAAGCGGAGGTTGTGGTGAGCTGAGTGCCACAGCACTCCAGCCTGGGTGCGACAGAGCAAGACTCTATCTCAAAGATACAAAAAAAGAACATAGGTCAATACAAGGCCTGGATTTGGTAGCATATACTGCTATGGCATCAAAAGGACCAGGCGTTTTAAAGGACAGAAATTCTGGTTTATAAAATGGTTATGTAAGTCCCACAGCTGACAACAGATGGAGCAGCTCTGAAACCTGTGTTGTCTGGCAGTGAGCTGAGTACCTGTGCTTAGCGTAGGCCTAACTCAGGTGATAGGTGTATGAATGGAGTTTAGGGGCTGGGCACGGTGGCTTATGCCTGTAATCCCAGCACTTTGGGAGGCCAACGCAGGTGGGTCTCAAGGTTGGGGGTTCAAGACCAGCCTGGCCAAGATGGTGAAACCCTTCTCTACTAAAAATACAAAAATTAGCCAGGCATGGTGGCAGGCACCTGTAATCCCAGCTACTAAGGAGGCTGAGACAGGAGAGTCGCTTGAAACCGGGAGGCAGCCGGGCGCGGTGGCTCAAGCCTGTAATCCCAGCACTTTGGGAGGCCGAGGTGGGTTGATCACGAAGTCGAGAGATCGAGACCATCCTGGTCAACATGGTGAAACCCCGTCTCTACTAAAAAAAATACAAAAAATTAGCTGGACATTGTGGCACATGCCTGTAATCCCAGCTACTCAGGAGGCTGAGGCAGGAGAATTGCCTGAACCCAGGAAGCGGAGGTTGCAGTGAGCCGAGACCGCGCCATTGCGCTCCAGCCTGGGTAACAAGAGCGAAACTCAGTCTCAAAAAAAAAAAAAAAAGAAACCGGGAGGCAGAGGTTGCAATGATTTGAGATCGCACCACTGCACTCCAGCCTGGATGACAGAGCGAGATTCAGTCTCAAAAATAATAAATAAATAAATAAATAAATTGAGTTCAGGAAAATAGGTTAAGCAAGGATTTTATGGTGATCAAATTCTATTTTTTAAAGGCAAGAGGAAAATAGTCGCAACCTCAATCATAGGTACCAGTAAACCAAAACTGTGGTTCTGTTGATTTGGTATTTATTGTGTTTAATCCCAGCACTTTGGGAGGCTGAGGCAGGCAGATCACAGGATTAAGAGTTCAACACGCCGGGCGCGGTGGCTCAAGCCTGTAATCCCAGCACTTTGGGAGGCCGAGGCGGGTGGATCACGAGGTCAAGAGTTCGAGACCATCCTGGTCAACATGGTGAAACCCCGTCTCTACTAAAAATACAAAAATTAGCTGGGCATGGTGGCGCGTGCCTGTAATCCCAGCTACTCAGGAGGCTGAGGCAGGAGAATTGCCTGAACCCAGGAGGCGGAGTTTGTGGTGAGCCGAGATCGCGCCATTGCACTCCAGCCTGGGTAACAAGAGCGAAACTCCGTCTCAAAAAAAAAAAAAAAAGAGTTCAACACCAGCTTGGCCAACATGGTGAAACCCTGTCGCTACTAAGGATACACAAATTAGCTGGGTTTGGTGGCACGTGCCTATAATCCCAGCTACTCCAGAGGCTGAAGCAGGAGAACTGCTTGAACCCGGCAGGCAGAGGTTGCAGTGAGCCAAGATCACACCACGGCACTCCAGCTTGGAGGACATGTAGAGAACCAGCCCCACACCCCACCTGTGGGTACCCCGAGTTCGATGATAACAAAGGAATGAGAAGAAGACATTAAGAACGAAAGTGGGGCCGGGCGCGGTGGCTCAAGCCTGTAATCCCAGCACTTTGGGAGGCCGAGGCGGGTGGATCACGAGGTCGAGAGATCGAGACCATCCTGGTCAACATGGTGAAACCCCGTCTCTACTAAAAATACAGAAAACTAGCTGGGTGTGGTGGCGCGTGCCTGTAATCCCAGCTACTTAGGAGGCTGAGGCAGGAGAATTGCCTGAGCCCAGGAGGCAGAGGTTGCGGTGAGCCGAGATCGCGCCATTGCACTCCAGCCTGGGTAACAAGAGTGAAACTCCGTCTCAAAAAAAAAAAAAAAAGAATGAAAGTGGGACCAGGGGACTATCACTTCGTACTGGAGGCAGTGAAGGCCCTGAACTCTGGTTTCCACAATATTTATTGAACACAATCACTGTTATCTGTAGTGCAGGTCACAGGGTGAATCGGTGAAGGGAGGTTGTGCATCAAAATTGATAGCAGTGGCGGTTTATGTGAGTTTCTTATAGGCTAAAAGCATATGCTTATCAATAGACAATGCAGCTGGTGGGAGCAGACTTAGCAAGGAGCCTACATGTCTGGTTACATTCCAGTGCTTCAAGGGAGTGTTATGTCCTTGGGCACTATGTTTAGAATATCAGAGCTTAGGACACTGCACCTGGGAACATGCTGACATAGGGAGGCCTTCCTCCCTAGAGACCTCCGTGGCCTTCCACAGTTGTTCCTGATATCTTTGATACTTATAACCAGTTTAAGTAGGCACACTATAAACTCCTC